GCTGGGTCTTCTGGGCGGGCGTGGTCGGGGCCCTATCCCTGATCTTGTTTGCGGTCCCTAGGCCGCCGAGGATGGCCCTGAGCGACGAGCCGGCGGCTGTAGCCCCCGAGGAGCCGGAGGAGGACGCCGGCCGCGAGCCCGACGCGCTTGCCCGCGGCGGTGCCCTGGAGTCGTTCGGCGAGAGCGCGGAGACGCGCGAGCTACTCGGCCGCCTGCGGGACGTGCACGGCGAACTGGCGGCCCGGGAGGTGGCCCTGGAGCGGTTCCGAGGTGCGTGCCGCAGCCCCGGCGGCCGCTGCCACGTGCCCACACTGGCTTCTGGGACGAGGGCCTCGGATGCAGCGCCCTGCGTGGGTGTGTCACCCGCGGTGGCGGCAAATCCGGCCCTGTCTTTGGAGGAGCTCAGCAGCCCAATTTTGATTCTGAGACGGTGGAGAAACGAGGGGAAGGGAAGGGAGGAAAAAAGATAGGCAGTCCACGCGGTTCTTCCTCTTTCTCGAACTCAGAACTGAGTACACTTTCTGTAGTTAAGGGAAAGAAAGGGCTGGGGACCAGGAGACCCCTAAGCAGCGTGACAGAGTGCACAACCCCAGCGCATGCGGGCCAGGCTGAGGGGGACAGCAGTGGACACTGCCACGCTGCTCTTGTGGGGCTTTCTCTGCGTGGCCTGCTGATGTGCAGTGTTGCATTTTAAACAGTGAAAAAGCACACTTTCTCCTAGAAGGCAGAGGTTGACCTTAGCTTGTTATGTGCGTAGAACGAATGCAGTTTTTTTTTGGCAGAGATTCTTTCATTTCTTGTTTAATTTTATCGGCACCTGGCCACAAACGTGGCATGCACACCCGAGGGGACAGTGTACTTGTGCAAGGGAGGCCTCAGATGGAGGGGAGAGGAAATAAGCCCTTTTCCCCGTCTTGCTCCTTGGAGGAGGGCTCAGGAGGAGTGAGAAGCCTGGGTCAGGAAGCCTGGCACAGGACCCGCAGGGATGGCCCTGGCCTCAGGGAGCCATGCTGAGTGTAGCAGGCTGGATCTGGACTCAATATATACTCTTTAAGTAGAGGTGCTTTGGGAGGGAGTGTGTTCTCTGAGATGGGGCAGTGATGGAGAGTGGGGTCAGGCTAGAGAGTGAGGGTTTGGAGGGTCAGCACAGCCCACAAACTTCGTTTTAGAGCCTTGAACATCACCCTCCCTGTGGAGCTTGTTTGGAAGCAAGTACCTGCCCTCATCTCCAGGTTGCTGACCCCACAGGGCCTGCACTTGACAAGCGTGTCAGTGGATTCTGACACCAATGGTCCTCAGTGCCAACTTGGTGGAACACTGCTCTACAGGGATGGGAGCTATCCTGAGCCCGCGTGGTGATGGGTGCTGTTCTAGGATATCAGTGTTTGCAGAGTTTTCGAATAAGGGGGAAGCAAATGAATGCAGAAAAGCCCAAGACTTGCTTTATCTACTGTCGAGACTAAGTGTGTATGTGGGAGGAGGGCTGTGCCACACATCACTGCACACGATTGGATCAGGGCAGTGAAGGTGGGGCACCTACGGAGGGGACTTTCTTGGCTAAAACTATAAATAAGCAAAGAACAGGCACTGGCCTTGGTCCTGAGAAATCGCGTGTAGAGATCCCAGTGGTCTGACCAGTTAGAAAAAGACATTATTAGGTGAATGTTTTAGGAAAACTAAATACGAAAACATAAGTGTATTGAGTAAGGATAATTGAGCAGTTGATTTAAAGGAGTAAACCCATAGGATTTATAACCTGGAATGCAAGGAATTAAAAAGATGATGTTCTTGAAAAAGGTTTTCAAGGCTGACTATGTGTTTTAGTTATCTAGTGCTGCTATAACAGAAATACCACAAGTGGGTGGCTTTAACAGAAGTTTATTTTCTCACAGTTTAGGAGGCTAGAAGTCTGAATTCAAGGTGCTGGTTCTAGGGGAAGCCTTTCTCTCTTTGTCGGCTCTGGAGGAAGATCCTTGTCTCTTTGAGCTTCTGCTCCTGGGTGATCTTCATGTGCCTTGGCATCTCTGTTCCTCCGTCTCTGCTTCATAGCTTGCTTGTTTAATTTGTTTTATGTCTCAAAAGAGATTGACTCAAGATACACCCCACACTAATCCTGCCTTGTTAACATAATAAAGACAACCTACTCCCAAATGGGAATATAACCACAGGTATAGAGGTTAGTCTTTACAACACATATGTTTTGTGGACATAATTCATAACACCATGGAAGAGGTCAGGGTAGCAGAGTGGGGGGATTGGCCCCCTTCAGAAAGTGGCGGGGGACATCATGCAGTGGAGGAAAGGAGACCCTTGTCAGCTGTGACAGGTCACACAAGTTGGACACGAGGCAACCAGAAAAGGTGTATGGTGGATTTCACAAAAAACTTACAGAGCCAAGAATGGTAGATTTTTCACGCTAACATTAGGAGCTAGGAAATAAGCACATCAGTGCCAGTGCCTGCTGCTTACCCTTTTAGCTAAAGAAATTTCTGTGTACTTTTGTTTTCCTCTGTCTGGGATGGCAGCCCTCTTACTGTATGAGTGCGGCAGCAGGGTGGTGAGTAGAGAGAGTACCGGCCTTGGCTCCATTGTCCTGGGTTGAATGGCTCTGCCACCTGGGCTAGTTACTAGATTGCTCTGAGCCTCAGTCTCTGCAGCTGCAAAGGAGGATAGCATTTATACCTCATTTATAGGGTTGTGCTGAGGGTGAGATGAGTCCCACATGCTGGATGTGGTCAGTGTGGTCACATGTGGAGGTGTGTGGCAGGTGAGGACTGCTGCAGGTGGAGAGGTTGTTGAACCTGATGGGAGCCATTCCAGCGTGCTGGTGGGGGCAGAACCAGGTGGCCTGGACCTCAGCAGGTTGTGGCATGAAGATGGGGTGCCAAGGAGCCAAGCTTCAGCAGAGGGAGAATGGAGGGAGTGGAAGGTGTGTGTGTAATGAAGGGCAAATCTAAGTGCTCTGACAGGAGGCGGAGCCAGGGGAGAGGGAAGGGGAGAGTGAGGAAGTGACAGGAAGGCAGGGAGGGTTCAGAGGAGGCAGGAGGTGAGGACTGAGGAAGGGGCATGCAGTGGACGGGTGATTGAGTGGGCTGGACCTGGCCCTGAGGAAGAAGAAGGTGGGGAGCTCTCACCAGGAGCATGCTTCACATCTGTGAGGGAGGAGGGGCATGCTGTCTTGGGAGTTGTCTGGGGAGAGAAAGGGAGC